TCACTCCACGCCGCCCACAAAGGCATCTTTATTCCACAGACAGACCAGGGACAGCCCCACTTCAGGACCTTTGCATCTGATGTTCTCACTGGACCGCTCTTCCCCCGATGACAAGCTCTTTTTCTGCAGATCCCTATTACCGGCCTCTCAGCAAGGCCTCCTCGGGCCACTGCAACCAACAGTTCACTTCCCCATCCTCTGCTGCTTATGGCCATCCATTATTTAACCTTGAAAGCTTATTTTCTCCCCACCCTTTATTGTGGAAAATTCCAAACACATACAAAAGCTGAAAGAATTACACAGCACACGTTCATATACCTACCACTTATAAGTATTCTATGATGAACATTTTCTACATTTGCTTTACCTCATAACCATCTATCCGTTTGATCCTGTTATCTTTTGATGTCTTTCAAAGTAAGTTGCAATCATCAATAACAATTGCCCCTAAAATACTTCGGCATGCATATCATTAACTAGAGTTCATTATTTATTCATGGCGCCTGTTTTTTAAAGGTAAAATTTACTTCGAGTGGAATGTACAAATCTAAGTGTAGACAGGTACTTCTGACAAATGAACACACCTATGCATACGAACACCTAATAAGACACATAGAACATTATACCGCCCTAGAGAGCTGCCCCACCCGCTTCCCCAGACTCTACCCCCACTCCCAATCTAGACCTGACGTTTTCCTCCACCCTAGATGATTTCCACCTATTCTAAAACATCCCATAAATGGAATCACACAGCTCTTTTGTGTAAGACTACTTTTAGCTATCAAGCTAAATCAGGTTAAATTTGGCCAAGAAAAATTGGCCAAATGTCAATAATTCTCACATCTGTTTTTCCTGCCGGAACCTGTATTTCTAGGGTGTTAATTTTAGAAAGCATTCTGAAAAGTAGTCTTGACTGCCTTCTCCTATTCAGTGGTTTCACTAAAAAACTCCTTTCCCTGTAGTCAGTAAAAAACTGCCAGGGGCCAAATCCTGCATTGTAAACAAAGTTTTTCTGGACCACAGGCACACCCAGGTGGTTAGGTCTATGGATGGCCTCACCTTGTAATGGCAGAGTTCAGTGGCTCTGACACAGAGTGGCCTGCAAAGTTTAAAATCCTTACTCTCTGGCCCTTTAAAGAAAGCGTGCCGACCCCTGCTCTAACAGATGTCACATTGGCACCACAGTTTTAGTTACCCACTCTACATAAAAACCAGCTCAGACACGGCTAATCTGTATGGGTCTTTTCTTGAGAAGCCTGGATGTGGCACCATCCTACATCCTTACAAAAATATCAAAGATTAATCAACCAGCCCAGAACTGGGACTCAATCAGGAGTCAAGAACACACTGAGCTCTGAATAGGTCTAGAATAACTAATTGAGCAGGGAAAGGACTTTTTAAGTATTGGCAGAATAGACATTTGTTGGCTGTCTCTCCATTCCTCACTTCTGCTCCCTGTGTTTTATCCTCCTCATGTTTTATCCTCGAGGAAAGCAAATCCTAGGAGGAACTGTGCAGGAGCCACTTAAGACTCTCTGTTACATTGGATAGTGTAGTGGAAGGATATAAGGTCTGGGATAGACGCAGCACCAAGAGGCAAGGCCTAGAGCCAAGCGTTCAGGAATAGGAGGTGACAAATTGCAGGCAGCCCAATTGGTGAAGCTGACTTTACAGCACTTCCTAGGGTCAGAGTCACGGTGAGCCCTCCGGTTCAAGATTTGTATAGAACTAGCACTACCTCTTGAGTTTTCACTTACCTGAGCCAAAACTGTGTTTCGTCATGTGAGCCTGGTCAAGTTGGATTCTGAGCCATTTCCAACCAAAGGAATTGTTATGAAAGACCAATTATTTATGTTCTTGAATCATCACTGAGTGTGAGAACACGGTCGTTGCTCCTAAACCAGGAATCAACTTTTGCCCAACCTCCCCCGCCAGGAATCAACTTTTGCCCAACCTCCCCGCCTCTGAGAACTCGGAAGCGAATGAGAGAGGTCACGGTTGAAGGCAAGATGGAGACAGAGTCAACCAACTGACTCAGGTTGCTGGGAAACCGTAACACTAAGGGACCACCAGGGAGTGAGTGAGAGGACTTGCTTTGCTATCTTGATTACTAGGAAAACAAGTGCATCACGTATCTGAATTCACGTATTTGATTGTCTGATCATGTTTCTGACAATCAGAAATCCATCCCTACCCCTCTTACTCATGGTCAGTCTCCTTAGAAGTTGAAGATTGCAGACGTGTGTTCCTTCATTAGGTCTATAATTAATAAGCAGTATGTGTGTATCCCTCTCCACTTATCAATCTAAGTTTCAAGGGTTCTTTCTGGCCTATAATTTGGCAATGGATCCCAGGGATACTGCCTCTTGGTACAAGACACAGATGACCAAGGAGGCAAGATATACTTATGTAGCCATATATACTTTTCCAAAACAGAAAGATGTATTTTATTTGTAACAGCAAAGAATATTGTAAAAAGTTTAAAAGTATGAAGGTTCATATATGTTCAAGGAAAAAAATCCCATTTTCTGCCTTACCTATAAACCTACAATCTGATACACCTGAGATAATCACTGTTAATATCCTTAAAGACTTTTAAAATACATTATTTCCTTTGTGGAAATGGGGCCATGCTTTTCTGAATGCTGGTTGCCTTTCCTTTTTAATTATACAGATCTACCTTATCTTTTTAGTAACTACAAATTAATCCACTACATGAATGTACCTAATTTATCTTCTAATTGACTATGGATAGAGAGATTTTTTTCACAGTTCCTATAACAAATACCCTTGCATAATCACTGAAAGCTATATGCATATATACTTCTGAAAAATGATATTTAAAGGGAGACTTTCTAGGTCAAAAGTAATAGATATTTAAAATTCTGACAATCAACAAGACACAAAACAGTGAATGTTATGACTCCATTTAGAGTAAAATGTCATGCTAAGTCTGATATACATGCTAGAAGAGTTACAGAACACTAGTTTTCAAATGGTGTCAATTTTACCTTGTCTCCAGGAGACATTTGAAAATGTCTAGAGTCATTTTTGGTTGTCACAACTGGGAAGGTGCTAATATCTAGAGGGCAGAAGCCAGGATGATGCAAAACTTGCATTGCATAGGACAGCATCTTCCCCCGCCACCCCAGTAAAGAATTATCCAGCCCAAGATGTCAATAATAGGGTGAAAAACCCTGGTCTAGGAATACATATCACACTGTCCCCAGTTTTCTTTGAAGAGTGGAGGATAATTATCATTTATACTTTTGTATTGTTTGTGGGTTTTTGTTTTTTTTTTTTGGGCAGGGAACACGTACTTGTTTAAAGAACGTTTCCATAAACAAAAGTTCTCTCTCATGTCGAGATAAAAACAATTTCTGTGGCTTTTCACATTGGTTGCAGACCCTGGGGAAAAATTCTGCAAGCAGCTAACAAGACTCATTGAATCTTCTCTTCAGCAGACTAAGTTCTTCTGAATGCTCTCCATGGGAAACAGTTAGCCACTTTATCAGTCTGATTGCTACACCTATTAAGAAGAAGGTGAGAAGTGCTGAACCTCAAACTCTAGTTCTGCACTCTGATCGGAGAAGAGTGGAATCATCGCCACTGTCATTCAGCATGCAGTGGCTCACATTCAGCTTATTAAAACAGTTTTTCCACACGTTGCAGGTTTACATTTCTCCATCCTATATACTTCGCTATTGCCTCTTAAGTGTAAATGCAAGAAACTGAGAGGCCTGATTAACTCTCCTGACCACCCTGAAGAGCGTACCATTCTAACGTCTAACATACAATCAAGTTACAATTTTGAGTTACATTTTAGTCAAAAGCATGGACTGCATGCTGAGGTTACTTAAATTCTGTCACTGATGCACTTAAAAATTGCCTAACAGGTAAGCTATTTTAGATGTTTATAAGTTTCTCTCAATACACCATCTATTGAGTGCGTAGGATATGGCACTCACCTATAAGATCAGTAAGACAAAAAAGTGAACTGCCCAGAAGACTTTATGGCTTACAACAATTTTCTGGGGTCACGTTACTGAAGGAACACTCACTGATTTCAACCTGTAGAACCACATATAATGCCGTTTTATAAGGACAGCCTGCCTGTTATTTATTCTTATACTCTCTCCACTGTTTGCACATTTTGAGGCCTAAACTAAAGGCTCAGTAAGATTTAATGGAAAAGGGCACCATACCATTACTACTGCATACACTATACCTGCAGCAGATACCTGTACCAAGGCTTTCACTCCTCGCATCTCTGAAAATAGGTTAACAATAACTCTCAAACGTACCCATAAAACAAGAGTGGATTCACGAAGGCATAAAGCACACACGGAAGGATTAGATAACGTTTTACCCTTATATAGAAACAGAAAAGAAGATTCAAGGATGAACACTGAAGATGAAGAAAAGATGAAGACGAAATTAAATTCCTAAACAGTTCAAAACTGTATTTCCCCCCCTAACACAGCGCACTCCGCCGTCGTTTCCACATCACCGGGGAGAGAACTCCAGCAGAAAACGCAGAAAGCCGGCGGCACGGCCCGCGACCAGCCGCCCCGCCACGCCCCCACACAGGCCCACTCACCCAGTCCCCCGCCAGCCAGCAGGGGAAGCCCCCGGAGGCCTCCGCTCCGAGGCGGCTAGTGCGGAGCGCTTTGGAGAAAGACAAGGGAAGGGGGAGGCAGGTGGGCGGTGAAGGAGCCTATCCCGACCTCGCGAGCCCAAGCCCACGCGAAAGCGGACAACCGACAACCCCAGGATCCGAATCGAGCATCCAACAGTTCCGGCACTGGGCTCAGGTCGGCCGCCCCCAGCCCCTTCCTCAACCATTAAAGCCGCGGCCCCACCCCTCGCCGCCGGCCGCACCACGTCCCACTCGCCCCAAGCCGCTACCCTGGCCGATCGCGGCCCGAGACCTCTGCTCGCTGGAGGTGGGCCAGGGCTGGCAGCCACAGCCGAGAGGTAGAGGAACCAGGCTCCCATACCTGCACTTTCCTCCGCCCTGCCGTGTTCTGCCGGTGATGGGCCGCCATCTTGCATGTTGACACTCCTACGTCACTTCCGGAAGTGTCTCCGTCCTGGCGGAAGTCGTGCCTCTAACCCTGTGGCCAGGGGCAGGTGGCGTGGCGCCGGTTAGGCTGTTGGTAGTTCCCCAAGGGCGGTGGGGCGCCGGGGCTGGTGGCCCTGAGGTCAGGTAAAAGTACCGAAAAGTTGTCGCGTGCGTAGAACTCTGGTGGAGAGCGAGCTGGTCTGAGCCGGGGGGAGCAGTCCGTGTCCAGCCCTGTGTGCCTGTGAACTCCGGCTTCTACTGCTTTTCGGACAGCCAATTCCAGAGGCCCCAGCAGGCATTAGGAAAACGCTGAAAGCGTGAATAAGGGTTGGCTTGGGCAGGCATCCTTCCCCGACACTTTCTGACCAGTCAAGAGAACTGACAGCTTTGCCCTGACACACCCCAAAATGCAGAGAATTAAGGACTGGCCTCAAAGGGGAAGGTTGCAAAGGAGGTGTGGCTCCTGTCTTAAGAAGGAGCAAAGTGTCCGTTTTAAAGAAGACATAAAAGGGTGTTAGGAAGGTGAAAAATACACACTAGTAAAAATTGTTCTCCAAGGCAATTTTATAAGTTGAAATATAAACGTGGGTTTCATTTGTTGGAAAAGATATATACATGTTTTTACACCATTGCAACACCGACTATGCATATTTCTTTTTTTTGATTGTTGACATAACGTTTTAAGTTGGAAATGCTGAAGAAGGTGGGCTCACTCTAGAATAGGGTTTAAATCACCTGTTACACTGTGACATTCCCTTCTGGGGGTTTGTCTCGGAGTTCTGCTGACACTAATTATAGGTGCCGAGTGCTGTCGGGCTTGTGACAGTGAATGCCATAGAATTGCATTGTCCCATGCAGCCTCCACTAGGCACGTGTGGCTAGGGAGCACTGGAAACAGAGCCAGCTCAAATTGAGGTTTGATGAAACTAAAACACCCTCCAAATTTCAAACACTTAGTATGAAGAAAAGAATGTAAAACACCTCGATAATATTCATATTGACTACATATTAAAATGACAATATTTTGGATATATTGGGTTAAATAAGATACTAAGATTACTTTTTTTTTACTTTTTACAATGTGGCTCTTAGTATAGTTAGTTTCATATGCAGTCATTTTTTTTTTTTTTTGCATAGTGCTAGCATAGAAATAATGCTTAGGAAAGTCTAGACAAGTGTTTTTTTTTAATTAATAAAGAAATGTGAATTAGAGGAGTGGAAACTAATGGCAGAAAGCTTCTTAAGCAAAACTGGCAGTGATAATTTGCAGATAAACTATACTGCATTTTATTAGACACATTCATTCATCTATTCAACAAATTTTTTAGCACCTCTTAAGTACCAAGCACTATATTGGGTGCAGGGGATCTGTTAAGTGCACATAGTCATAGAGTCCTAGGGTAAGACCACAATTAATTAAACATATAAATGAATATGGAGATAAGTACAGTGAAGAAAGATGGTTAAAAGACAGGAAGTGACCCTTGAGTCAAGCTCCGAGGATGGACTTACCTAGGCAAATAGAGGGGACTGTCTGAGCAAAGATCTTGTGGCAGGAGGGAACTTGAAACAGTCCAGGAATTAGGGACCAAGGCTTGGAGTACAGAGAACAAGGGGAAGGAGTACACAGTGGCCGCACCCAACGGGGTCTTTTAGGTTGATGAGAAGCTGTTGAAAGTAAGCAGGGGAGGGACATGATCTGCATTTTAAAACATTATTTAGAAAACACCTATTTAAGCACCCAAGATGTGCTAGGCACCGTGCAGGTGTATGAGTCTGCACAAGATGCTTGTACTTGCCAGGCATGGATTGTTAGGTGGTTGTGGTCCCACTTTGGACCTGAAGAACATTGAAGGTGTGAAGTTCTTTCAATGGGCAGAATGTCCAGCAGTATGTCTTGAAGTTCACTTTGCCTGAAAGGGGAGATGACCTTGGGGAGTAATTCGTGACTGAAGGCTGATTGTTTGGCCAGTTGGTCAAGGACATGGAAAGAGCAAGATTGGAGAAGTAGCAATAAAGAGGACTTGGGAAGGGATATTCTGGACCTTGCAGAATAAATCTTTAGAATGATATGGACAACATGAACGTCTCTGTGGATGAAATTCAGCCTCCTTTCCCAGGCTCAGTGCTTGCTCAGTGGAGTTGTGAATAAAATGGCTACAATAAGGGGATTGGAGTTGTGCTTGGGGTCACCAACCCATTGCTGAGTGCTCAGGCTGCCAGCAGCAGTGACCAATCCGGAGTTGGCCATACACCCCATGCTCCAGGAGGTTCAGCCAATCACTTGGAGGCAAGTCTATCCCACTGGCCCTTCCAGATCACTGAGGGAAAGTTATTTGTCCTCTCTGAAGCACACTTACTGTAGCTTTAGATTTGCTTTCTTTGCTTGCTGTGCTTCTGTCAGCACCACCCTCTGGGGACTTACAGAATGCTTCCTACCATGTCATTGTGTCTGACAGCATACTGCTTCTGACCAAGAAACTCACTCTGCAATAAAAGAAGCAATACCATGGGTTAATGCCCATGGAACATGTTGGTCTAATTGTATATCCTATCACCAAGAAGCACCTGATATTATTGAAGCCTTGGTTATGGTGCCTTCTGGGAGGTAATAACCTTTTTTGATGCTGCCCTATGGGATGCAGTATATGCTTTGAACTAGTGTCCAGTATTTGGCACTCTTTAGTCCTGTTCCCATGTTGCTGTTTAACCACCCCAGAATCTAGTGGTTTAAAATAGCAACAACATGTATTTTGCTTACAGATCTGTAATGTGATTTGTGTGGGGCTCAATGGGGACAGTTTATCTCTATTCCACTTTTCACTTGATTCCGTTGGGACAGCTAAACATTGGGGGGCTAGAATCATCTAATGGCCCCCTCTCTCCCTCACCTGTCTGGTGGCTGATGCTGAATCTGTACCAGGACACCTACCCACGGCCTTTCCACAGTGCTGTTTGGTTCCTTACAACCTGGGAGCAAGCATCCCAGAAAAGAGAGACTCGGGTGGAAACTGTAATTAATGCCTTTTCTAAACTAACAATGGAAGTCCTGAAGTGCTACTTCCTTAGATATAAGGCTGGTTATATCTAAGGAGGCTCCTTTTATGGGAGAAGTGTCAAAGGATTTGTGGATATGTTTTTAAAACCACCACAGTTCCATAAGCAAAAATTGATGGATTTAGGAACAAAGAAATACTATGCCTAATGGCCCCCACTTAAAACAATGTTAATGGCCTTTCTTTGACATTCTGGGCTTTGCTGGTTTAGAGGTTTGTCATCAAAGAAAGGAATTCTTCAAACAAAGGCTTAACAGTGGTTCCCTTGATTTTAAGCTGAGATTGCTGTCTAACCATGTTGCATGTCTTGTGTCACTGGATAGTTGAGAGAAAGAGGAGAAGAACAAGGTTACAGCATCGGTGGGAGTAATTAACCCTGGTGTGCAGGAATGGGTTTGCTGGGAGACATAGACAGGTAGGTCCATCACACACCCAGGTATCTTAGAAATGAAGGTGTTGGTTGGAGGTTCAGGAACATGGAAGGGCTGGAAAAGAAACTAAGTCATAGTGGAGGGGGAGTCCTCAGGATCAGGGAGGAAATGAGAGCTGACATCTTTATTTGTATTTCCTTTTTTGATGTATCATCTTTACTTTTATGTTTTAACTTATTTTCATTTTTTACCCTTTTTTCACTATTGTTTATAGGGTGTGTGCTATTGTTGGTGAATTTCATTATTTAGTCCGTAAGTTGCAGAGGAATGGTTATCAGCTTGAAGTTCTAGACTTAGAGATGGGGGGATGGACGTAATAACGGATGGAACATTGGATTGACTCCCTTGGAGGGTGACAGAGTTGAGTACATCTTTGATCATATGAAGGGTAGTCGCAGTCTTTTCAGTGACAACTGTTTTTGACACATAAGCATGGAAAGCTGTGGTTATATTGGTGTTGAGCAGCCAAAGGCAAGACTTCACATTTGATGTTTCTGTGGTTTTATTTAATTTGAGTTCTTTTCCTGTCTGAGGAATTCCCCACTGTGTACCTTGCTGGTGGTGAGCACTGCTTACAGAAAGTGAGAAAGACAGTTACCCACTTCTTTTTTTAACCTTCTTACAGCAAGAGTGTGTGCATGTAACCTTAATTAATTAAATGACATCTTGAGTGTTTATGAGAAACTCTGAACTGGGACCATTCAGCTAAGCGGCTCCCAAATTCCTGATCTGCAGGACACGTGGGAGACAATAATGTACTGTTCGAAGTGTCCTGGTGGTGAGGTAACTTGTCATGCTGCAATAGATAACTAAGACATCCTCCCTTCTCCATGAAGAGGGGAGATGTCAGAGCCCCTCCCCAACTCTGCAGAGATATTCTCACCACCGGCCCCATCAATCTCCATTTAATTCTTCGTCTTCTCCTGTGTAGAATTCCTTCATCAATCTCCTGGCATTTCCTGCATAGAAGGATTGGCACCTCTATTTGAAATGTAAGAAGGCTTGACACCTATTACATTGTTCTCAGATTTTGAGACCTTTACATCCTAGACAACATGCAGACTTGGGCATCCTGAAAAGAGATCCACACACACACATTAAGTGAAAATGCAGTAAAATTGAAAAGTAAATAAGAGTTCTAGAAGGTGTCTGCTTCCAAATAAACCACATTTGTTCTCATTAAATTTTGTTCTGGAGGTCGGTCAGTTTCCTTATTTGTAGAGTGGAATAACAACATGATCTCATGTGGTTCTTCTCAAGGTAAATGAAATAATAGCACAGTTCCTGGTGCGTAGGAAATCTTCAGTATATTTTAGATATTATTTTTAATCATCATCTTGCTCAGGAAACATCGCCAAAGTGCTGTAATTTCCTGGGATCGGTTCTCTTTTTAGTTCCATGTAATATAGGCTCTATCACTTCTCTTTCTTTCTTTCCTTTTTTTAAATTTAGCATTTTATTTTTTTTAACTTTTTTTATTGTTGTTCAAGTACAGTTTTCTGCCTGGCTCTATC